TCTCGCATCGAAGGCTACATGGTTCACATGCATACTTTGATCATACCACAACAAAAGCAATTAATTAAGGCATAGCAAATTTTACAATTACAACCCACCTGGAAATTGCGGTAGAAAATCACACACAAAGTTGGTACGTAGGTTGAGGCTCGACTCCTCAAACACCTACATTTAAGCGAGATAATTTATTAATAAACTATCTCCCTACTCGAATTTATCATAAAACCCATACTTCGTAAAAATTAAGACTTAAGGGTTTAATCGGAATTTTCGTGGACTTAAAATAATTTTTACAAATTTTTCTCATTTCAAAGATATTTTTTTAAAAATTAAAATCGGTATTAAAACGGGCTTCCGGAACTCAAAATAGGCTTAAAAAGGCTAACTAGGCCGCGCTGGAATTAATCTACCGCGAGAATGGGCTCATATATGCGAAATTAAGCCGAAGTAATTGTTGAAGGGCTGAATATAAGCGGGCTAGGGTTTGGGCCACTGGCGGGCCAGCAGCTGAGAGGGGACGTGGGCTTCGCGGGCCGATACGCGGGCTCGCGGGCTGGAAAGCCCGCTCTGCTGGAAATAGAGAAGAAAATTAAAATATGGCTATAACAAGGGCAAGATTCGAACCCCACATCATACATGGAAATGAGTGCGTGCACCACTGCACCACACGCCTTGATGGGATATTAAAGGAAATCATAGTTTTTAAGTTAAATAAAAGTCTGCAGATATTACAACAGCAAATTCGAGCAGAGAACAATGGAACAACAACTTGGAAAACGCAGTTAAATTCTATGATATCATTTTCGATGATAACTGGGATTCGAGATATGAGTAAATAAATTTTCTGAGTTCCGAAATTTCATAAAAACGGGTTTTTAGGGATCGAAAATGGAAAATGGAATAACCGGCTCCAACCGAACATATATATATACAAATGACGACTCGGACATAAAATCGATACTCCGAATTAAACCAAATTACTCACAGCAGCAACGAGACTCAATTAATACGATAAACGAGAGTTTCGATTATGCCCGAATTTCGCGAACAACACGACGACTAATGAACCGACAATAAACCGAGAATAAACAAATATCGATTTCAACCAACGACACTCGGAACACCGAAACATGAAATAATCGAACAATATCAAATCCAAAACAACGTGTAACAATTGGATTTCGATTGAAAAGTACCTTCCTCCGGAACTACAAGATCGGATGAAGAAGGGTTCGGATTAAAGGCCTCTGTTCTTCTCGCTGCTAATCACTTTTGGTTTCTGGGCTGGTGATTCACTCCAGAGAGCTGATCGCGAATATGATGCGGATCTCCGGAGAAGAAAAGCTGTAATGGTGGCTAGCGATCTCCTTCTCGAGCGATGGAGTGATGGCGGAAGATTGTGATGATCAAAGATGCGTGGTGATGATGGTGGCGCAAGATGATTCAGAGAGGGAGAGATGGAGATTAATCAATCACGAGAGGGATATGGCAGAGATAGATAAGAGCGTGTGGGAGAAGAGGGATCGGTTTATGAGGAGAGAAAGAGATATTTTTAACGGTTTAATATCTATGAGCATTAAGACCAAAATTAACAAATGATAATGAGGAGATTAATTTCCTAATTTAAATGGCCATAAAATCAAAAGGTCGGTTATGGATCATGACCGGCTCGGCTGGGGGCTCATGGTTTTCGACCGGACTTTCTCGTTCCATATTTACGATATTCGAGTCTCGGTTTGATTGACGATAATTAAAATAAAACCGGAACATAAATATTTATATATATATAATACACAATAATTATTAATATATAATAATCATATATAATACACACAAATAACATTTATTTAAAAATAATAATATGCATTTAGACATTTAATAACATTTAGGCATTTAGCACTAATAATAATAATCATAAAAATAATAATAATAGTAATAATAATAATAATACTAATAATAATAATAACACCAATAATCAATTAGGCAATTAGACATTAAGTATAAATAATAATAATAATGCAAAATAATTAATCTCAAATAATCCATAATCAACCGAGGTATTACATGCATACTTTGATCATACCACAAGTAAACAATAATAACATTTACAGCATAGCCAATTTTTCAAAACCCACCTGGTGTCGATTGATAAAGCAAATACCGAAAAGTTGTATGTGGTTGAGACACTGCTCGCCAGACACCTACATAAGTCAAGACAGTCCCATAAGCAACTATCTCGACTCTTACACAGATAACGAGAATTATACTTAGTCGAATCACATCGACTAAGAAACTCGTGGAAGTTGTGGAGTTAGAACATTAGGACGACTTCTAGACTCGACCAACCAACTAATAAATCATATAAAGGCATGCAATAAAGGTTTGACACAAAAACAAGTCATCAGGTCAAGGACTTGCCATTAAAGCCAAAACCGGTCAAAAGAACTAGTTTTAAAATTTATAAGAATATGGCTATAAGGAGATAGGCTTGGACAATTCAATTAAAATTTTTACAGCACTTAAAGAACTGAAAATTAAACATTTTCACCAAAGGAAAGCCCCTACACATGCTCCTAACCAATTTAAATAAATTAAGCAAAATCTGGACAGAATTCAAATTAATTCATTTAAATTAGCTAGAATCAGAATTAATTTCTGATTTTTTTACAGTAGCAAGATATTAGTAAGAACAGCAACATATACAACAATTAGCCAAATCGGACAGGAACTCGATTTTATATGAATTTATAACGAAACAGCCCAGAAACGGTTTTCGAGTTTTGACAAGGCTACAAGCCATATAAAAATCTCACATTTTAACTACATGCAATAAAACAGCAATGTGACAACATATCCAAAAATCAGAATTTTTGGAACAATACACGAATTACAGTGATTTTAGCAAAAACGGGCTGCAACACGATTTTCAAAAATTCATATTTTACAATATACATATCGAAACGACACAAGGCCAAAGCCATTGTGTCAAGGACGTTCCTAAGTCCAACAATCCACAGTCATTCCACGGGAAATATCGCATTAGCCTCGATTCGATAATTTTTTTCAAAGTGACGGCAATCACTTTGATATTCAAATATCAAATATATATTAATAATTCACTCAAATTCAAATCTATGGCACGAATTAATACGAATATCTCACGTTCAGCAAATAATGCATAAATACGAGCACTTAAACACATATATACAAATGAAATAATTAAGTCAATGGTTAGCCTGGGTATCGTTCTTGGGACGGGGTACGAGAAACGAGCAACGCAAGGGTCGAACGGGCTTGCTAATGGGATCACGGGACCGCAGCGATTAAGCTCGAGAACAGAGCAATATCGCCGGGACA